CAGGCTGGGGCAGCAGCTCCGGCACCCGCTTTGCTAAACCCGCCCCAACTTTCTGCTCTCCGCGTGTAAGTTTCACACAGCAAACGAAAACGCTTCTATAACTACAAATATATAACTATGTTATTTCTTTTAACCCGGCGAAATTTTTACGCAGTTTAATTCACACCGTGGGGACTTTTCGTTCTGTTCTCGTTTGAAATGATGTCCCAAACACATCATTTACTTTCTCTGCCCCAAAATCCCAATCTAAACAACGGGGCTAGACCTGACCCTTGGCATGAAGACGATAAGGCAGGTAAAATTGTATTTCCATAATGTGTTGGCTTGTAGAATACATTATCATCTCATGGCAGAGACATAAATTAATATTTTTCTCCTTAATGTTTATTGATACGTTGGTTTGTAAACAAATGTTATTCAAAGCTGCTGTACAGGAGAACAGCAATTTCATTAAAAGCTTAACCACGATGTCTTTGCAATTGCATTTTACCTGGATGGCAATTGTATCATTCTTTGCTTTGTATCCTGACACAAAAATAACTGTATTTATCTTCATCAAGAGTAAATTATAGCATGTATCTGCAGAGGTTTTAATCAGCAGGCCTGTCCCCGAAGCCTGAAATTATTTTGTATTTATGCATGTGGCAAAATTTCTCTCCTTCTTGCAGGAGGCAAAACCTAGGTGCTTGGGCAGCTGATTCCAGTTCCCTTAAGAGACCAGTTGGAAGGGAAAGTAGGTTTGGATACAGAGGTCCACTGGCAAGTAACAAGTGTAAAGGTGATGCTGGAACTCCTCACCATGACAGAAGTTCCTCAAGATGAGGAATTGCCAGCTAAGTCCAAGTACTTAAGTCCCTTACGCTGAACAAGTAGCGTTTATTGGGCAAACTCACCAGCCTCTTATTATTCTCTCTCCGTCCTCACTCCGCTGTGAAAGCAGCTCGAAGCTCTTACGCAAGGGCCGTTGCGCTGGGTTGGTGACAGTCCTAATCCTCGTCCTGATCCTGATCTTATCCCTGCTCCTGCTCGTGGCCTTTCCTCCCCACACCCCGCCGGCACCTCAGCCTCCAACCTGGCTCCCAACGCACCT